GGTTTCCTCCCACAGACCAAAAACATGCATGTTAGGCCAATTGGTAACTCTAAATTGTCCCTAGGTGTGAGTGAGAGAGTGAATGGTTGTTTGTCTCGTTTGTCTCTATGTGGCCCTGTGATGGACTTGCGACCCGTCCAGGGTGTACCCCGCCCCTCGCACAGTGATTGCTGGACATGGGCACCGGCGACCACCGTGACCCAAAATGGAATAAACGGGTAAAGAAAATGGATGGATGGATGGGTATGGTATGGTAGTTTCATGTTGCTCCTGATCAGTTTCATGTTGCTCCTGATCTGTTTCATGTTGCTGCTGATTTGTTTCATGTTGCTACTGTTCTGTTTCATGTTGATGTGTTCATGCGTACTCATCTGCTCACACAGACTCATGCTCATGTTCGTGCTGCTGTTCAATGTAATGTTTTTATGCTGTATGAATGTGTGGAGGTAATTGAGGGCACATGGTGTGTTGTAAAGAGCTTTGAGTTTCTGGATCACATAGAAAGGAGCTGTATAAATACAGTCCGTTATAAAAAAGAGTTTATACTGTTGGAATGTTCCATAAACAAGTTTTAAGGTTTCCTGAATTATAAAACGGCTTTACACCTAAACAAAGACAACAAACAAAAAGACGAGTTGTTTTTTGTTACGAGTGATGTTTTTCTTTTCCATCTGTTCACATTCATTCTTCCCCCTGCTTCCTGTTCCTCCAGGTAACCTTCCCCAGAGCCAAACTCCTGCTGATGTCTACCAACCAGCAGGACCTCAATGACTGGTACCAGTGCCTGAGCTCAACTATCAGGTTAGAGACCCCCCCCCTCCTGACTCCTGATGCTTCTAACACTCATCATTAGACCTCAGTAAGGCCTTGTCCACACAGACTGCTGTATTTTGTTGTTTATAAAAATGTTCGTCCTGTACACGACACGTTTTCTACAAATGCTTCCATCCACTGAAAAACACAGAAAACGCCCCCAAACACTGCAGTAACTACGCCCGGCCTGTATGTGGTGCTGTAGCGCTGCCACATACACCCAGCAGAGACATGAAAGAAGATGTGGAGCAGACTCCAACTGTAAAGTAGTGATGGATAAACCAACACTTCCTGACTCAGTGGATCAACAGAAAACACGTGTTGAGCTGATTCAGACTTTCAGGGAATTTGGTGCTACAGGTGCCCTCTGCTGGCCAACCTTCCTCACTGCACTTTACAGAACAACCAAGGTCAAGGAGTCGTGGACAAGTGAGTTTTGCCTAACCAACCGCCAAGTAGGAATAGTAGTATTTATTTTAGTATATATTTAGTATAAAGGTGTTTTAAACCCTTCCCACACTCTTGCAATATTCTAAAGAATGTTTCAAAACTCTAAATGCTCTAAAAGAGACAGAATGTCATGATTTCAGCTCCCTGCTTCCTCTGCTCTTGGCCACGCCCACTTCTCTGCTCTGCACGAAGAACAGCTGATCAGCTGCAGCAGGAAGTTGATCCTGTAGTATGGGCTGCACAAAGCTGCAGGAGGTGCTAAATAATTTGAAATAATATATTTTAAATAAAAATTTCATGCCGATCATGCAGCTCATCCATCAGTCAGCCAGTTGTGTGTCATGTCCACTCTTATTTTGAAAAACCACGATAGAGCGAGTCTGTGATAAACGAACCACGAAGTAGCGAGGGACCACTGTACTCTAAACAATGTGTCACCATTTCAGGGAAAACAAGACTTTTATAATAAGGATTTATTGCAAAGAAGTTTTGTTACAACAAAGAGATTATCAACCAAATTTTCTTAACGTGCCAAGATTAAAAGTAAAACACTGAAATGTTTGTTTACGTCAGGTCCTCTGGATGGTTTCTTTGTGTTGAGATGTTTCGTCCTTCATCCTAAGGACTTCATCAGCCCGAGGAGCCACAACAAACTGAGTCCCACAAGCAGCACATTCACATAGTGGGCCAACCAGTTTGATGTGATAATATGGTTTCTGGAGTCCGCCCTCTCCCCCGTCGGCTCCTCTGATGCAGTCATAGCCAAAGTGGTTCAAAACTCGGCTGCCTCAGAGGAGTCGACGGGGGCCCTCTCCTTGTAAAGCAGACTGGTTCTGGACCTCGGGCGTGTTTGTCTCTCAGACAGCCTCGGCATTGATCCATTAGACCCACCTGCCTCCGCCCCCTGCTTTTCAGGGGCTGGTACAGGCTGGTTCTTGTGAGAGCCGTGACCCTGGCCTGCCCTTCCAGGCTAATGAGTTTATGAGTTTGTCAGAAAGGAGCCTGTCGGTGAGCTGATACCACCCCTCTGTCAGGGCCTGGGGTGTATGAGGCTGACTCGGAACCCCTGGGACTGTAATTAGATGTGATGGGATAGACCGGGCCAGGGTTAGGAGCTCCTGTGTGTGTGTGTGTGTGTGTGGGGGGGGGGGGGGGGGATGAATTATTGATTTAACTCATCCTTGTTCTTATTTCTGACGAGTCGCTACAGTGTTGAACGTGTGGAGTTTCGTCACGCTGCAGGCGTTACAAGTATGGAAACATGCAGATTTATTTGAGTATTGAGTCTGGAGACAACAGTCTGGAATAACATCTAGGTTTCCAGATGCCGTTTCTGTTAGTGTTTTCTTAAAAAACATCAAGACGCTTCTCGAACAAATAAAATATTTTTCATAAATGAACTGGAAATAAAAGATTAAATACCTCACATTCAATGAAGGAATGCATATCGCCCACCACTTTTAGAACATCAACTCCAACCACCTACCCATCTACCCATCTACCCACCCATCCACCAACCCATCCATCCATCCATCCACCCACCCATCCACCAACCCATCCATCCATCCACCCACCCATCCACCAACCCATCCATCCATCCAGACATCTCTCTCCACAGCCTCTTCCAGATCTTCTGGGAGGACCCTAATGTGTTACAAGGCCAACCAATAGACATAGTCTCTCCAATGTGTCCTGGGTCTTCCCCGTGGTCTCGTCCCAGTTGGACATGTCCAAAGCACCTCTCTAGGGAGGCGCCCAGGAAGCATCCTTACCAGATGAACCACCTCAACTGGCTCCTCTGGATGTGGAGGAGCAGTGGTTCTACTCTGAGTCTCTCCTGATAACTGAACTTCTCACCCTGTCTCTAAGGGAGAGTCCAGCTCCTGCAGAGAAAACTCATTTCAACCTCCTGGATCCACAATCTCATTCTTTCAGTCCGGACCCAGAGTTCATGATCAGAGGTGAGGGGAGGAACATTGACCGTCCGGTAAACAGAGAGCTTTGTCTTACAGCTCATCTCCCACTTCACCACAATGGACCAGTAGAGAGACCACAATACTGCAGATGCCAAACCAATCCATCTGTCAATCTCACGCTCCATTCTTCCCTCACTTGTGAACAAACCCCGAGATACTTGAACTCCTCCACTTGAGGCAGAGCCTCACCCTCGACCTGAAGAGAGCAATCCATCCTCTGACTGAGGACCATGGTCTCAGATTTGGAGGTGCTGGTTCTCAACAACATCAACTTATGTTGAGAAATTATGCAATTCTAGCTGTTTTGGTCAAACCTAGAAACTTCCAGCTCTGTGGGGTAAAGCTGTTTTTGTTTGCTAATGTGAATCAGCTGTGGCGCTCAACTTGATTTAGATTGATTCTCCAAGGTAAGCATTTATAGAAACCCATCTAATGAGTACTTTATAAAAGTTTTCATCAAAGTCCACCCAGGGGTTCAGTGATACTTTACTTACTGAAAGTCACTTTCAAATGTTTAATGGTCCAGTAAAAAAAAACAGTCCATTAGAATTCAGTGTTTGAGGAGCAGTCCCAGCTACTATCACACCAAAGTTTAGCTCAACATCTGTAAATCTCAGAGTCAGAGTTTTTTTTATTGTCATTCGCTCCTCATGTGGTACATGTGGTGGAGCAAAATTATGTACACAGGGTCCCAGTTACATCCAACAATGAAATGTATCATAAAAACAGTAATAACATCTAAGATATGAACTAAGAAAAACAGTAATAACATCTAAGATATGAACTAAGAAAAACAGTAATAACATCTAAGATATGAGCTAAGAAAAACATCAACTAAATATACATTAAGCACTCATAACATAAAACATTGAACATCAGCACAAACATGAACATGAGTCTGTGAGCAGATGTGCACGCATGAACACATCAACATTGAAACAGATCAGCAGCAACATTGAAACAGATCAGCAGCAACATTGAAACAGATCAGCAGCAACATGAAACAGATCAGCAGCAACGTGAAACAGATCAGCAGCAACATGATGTGATTTTTCACAGTGATTCTTCTGGTTAGAGATTCATGAGTCTAACAGCCTCAGGGTAGAAGCTGTTCCTCAGTCTAGTGGTTCTACACTTAATGCTCCTCAACCTCCTTCCTGAGGGGAGTGGGACAAAAAGTGTGTGTGCTGGGTGAGTGGGGTCCTTCATGATGCAGGTG